GCTTGATATGTCCCCCCACGGGTTGTTAGCTGTGGGCCCGTAAAAAGGGGGGCGGTGGTGACGACTATAATACGACGACGACGGAGGCGTTGTCCGGCAAAGTGGGTCAATCGATCGAACGCCGGGCGGCGGCGCTATAGCGTAACGGCGATAGCGAACGGGTCTCGCGTTTCCGCGTTATAGGTGAATATATGTATATATGTATAATATATAAAGACATATATATATATATATAAGCGGGCGTGCGCGCGCGTGTGCGTTTATAAATATAACAATATTGTGTAGAGGGCGGCCGTCGCGGTGGCGGGTGAAGACAGCGAAATGGAACAGACGCACGCKGAAAGCGGCARCGACGGCGCGATTCGTTTTCGCAGAGTGCGCGATGCGTGCGGCGGCGTTTTGTTCGTCGTCGACGGCACTGTTCTCCTGCACACGAGCGTCACGCGACAAGACGGTTACCGAAGTGTCGCCCGACCGGGATACTGTCCGCGCGCGCCAGGTATGTCTCCGACGCCGCCGCCGTGTCCCCGCGAGCGATTCGCATGCGCGCGCGCTCTCGTCGCTCGCAACCGTCCAGCCCCCCCGCGCGCGATCGTCGCGTCCGGGACCGCTCGTTCGACGTCTCCCCCGGACGCCGCGACAACGCGACACCGGACCCGCCCGTCCGATGGGGGACGCGTGCGGCGCATCCGGACCACGCCGGCGGGATCCGCCCACAGCCGTAGTCGCGTGACAATCGTGCGACACCGGTGGCGGCGGAGGTAGAGACGCGCGCGCACCGGTCTCTTTGTCATTGCGCGCGACAAAGTCGGCCTCCCCTTTTTTATATTCTTGTATTCGATAATATTATATTCTTATATAATATACGCTATCCGCGGAGTTCATATAATGTATCCGCCACGAGAGAATATTTATTTTTTATTTTAAKTTAAGATAGTTGTCTAGGTATCTAGTTACTTTTCTCACTTTATAATTATTATGTAGGTATACTTATAAAAAGCGTAAATAATGTAACTGTGTAAATATATACCTAATGTTTTCTTAATTTTTTCAAAATATCTATCTTTTATCATAGTCATTGCATGATTTAGTCTTTTTACATTTGATTATAAATTCGCATTGTAGATATGGAATGCAGAAAGACTTGAATTTAAATATTCGACTTGTAACTTTTATGACTTTTTCAAAATCTCAATAGTTATAGGTACCTACATCATTTAAAATAAAATTCATGCAATGCTTGACTAATCAAATATGTTACTAGACTTAAATATGATTCTTTTCAAATTTACACTTTATCTTATATCTTTATCACTTTATYTTTAATTTACACTTTATCTTTATTTTTAATTATCTAGGCATGTGCTATATAGGTGATTTAAGTTCATGATCTTGAATTATGATTTTTCAAATAGATAATAACTATTTATAACAATTTTAGTATATCGTAGGTATATATATAATTATTTTATAGTAATAATAAAGTATCGACAAGACACCAGGAGTTTCTCGAATAGGTTTACCTTTCTATATTTTCTTTGCAGGCACAATTATTAATAATTATGAAAATAATATTATATTGTTACGTTAATAATATGAGATGTTTAGGTGTGTGAGTGTGTGAATTGTATTTAATATATATAAATAGATGATAGACAAATTTAAAATCAAATTTAAATGTTAAATGTATACATCAGAATAATAGTGACAAAAAGGTAGGTATAGGTAGATTATATTATGTATTTTATAATATTATAAACATTATCAACATATGTTGACATTTCCATTTATAAAAGCTAATAAATATCAAAAAATAATAATATTTATATAACCATATAATATATCTACCTATAGATATTAATAGTACCTAATTTTAAATTAATTTTGATACAATATATTAATAATACAATTATATGTCCYAATAGACCTAATATATAGGTACCTAATTTATAATTTTACAAATAATTTAATTTTGTTGTAGGTCGACGTATTATACATAATGATATGGATTTTCTGCAATATTCAAATGTACGAGTATACCTAGGCACTTATTAGATAATAAAATTTTTTTTTATTTTAGAAAATATATTTCAAGGAGAGTCTTAAAAACAAACATAAGCTTTTTTTATATTTATTCATCACGATTTTTGTACTTAATTATTTATTAAGTGGATCAATGGATACATACCTAATATCATATTTTAAACATTAGAATTTAACACTTTGTAAATAAKAAGAAATGTGTCTTAATACGATAGATATCTTTATATTATTTCAAATTTTTTACCTATAAGTATAGGTATATTAGGTAGTCACTTGTCAATATGCTATTCATCGAGCTATTAATGTTCAATAATTGAACAGGTTTTACAGTATGATCTTATAAATTAATTTAGTAGTTATATATGTAGTTAAACACAAGTATAAATAAAAACATGCATAATATAATAATGGATCCTAATTTCAATGTAATATTGTATAGGGTACCTCTTTATACTATTAGTAAAAGTGTTGATTATAATATTATACGTTTGTAATTAAAAACTAAAAATGTCTAGGACATAATAATATAACAGCTTTTTTTATTTGTTTATACATATAAGTACCTACCATCATACTGGATTTTATACAAGTAAATAATTTTCAAATAATAAAAAAAATGCAACCAACATAGTATAAAAAAAAACTATTGAAAAATCATATTTTTTTACTTCAGTAATAAATATTTCAAAATTTGTGTGTGTGGTTAATATATTATAAATTATAATATATTCATTTTTGTCACACGAATTCGATTCGGACTGATACAGATTGCAGTAGTTTTCTATATACATACAATAATAGATAATGTAGGTCTATATATAGAGTGTTTAAAATATGAACGTCAAATCACACTTCGACTTCCAATACATCGTGTGTACCTATAAACCTATATGTATTATAGTAAATCCTACAGCTCTATATGTAGGTACATATACCTATCTTCCTAATTATATACTTAAATAAGGGAATATATGTATTTTATTTATTATTTAGTGATTATAATATTATGCAAAAATAATATAATATATTATATAATTGTTGAGCTATATTAGTTGAAACTTAAAGCTGTAATAATAATAATAATAAAATATATATATACTACTTATAGATACCTATTAATAACATATTATCGGCTCATATATATACCACAGGAAATCGAATTGTCTACATATTATTATATACTGATATTTGAACACAAAATTGTTTGTTTTATAATATACTATAAGTATTTTCAGGTGTATTATAAATTATAATGGGTAATTAATAATTACCGGTGGCTGATAGTTGTACACCAATATACAAGTATTGAAATTAGCTCAATTAACTGGCGGACGTTTTTCATCAAAACATAAACATATAATATATATAGGTATATGTGTTATTATAATAAATGAAAATCATAAAATTATAATAAATTAATTTACTGTAATATTTATTATTAGGTTTAATATAGTACCTACCTATCTATAGATTATAACTTAGGTACCTTTTTTTTTTTCCGTTCAATATACGCGGGGGCCTCTAACCACCCCGAAAAACTGGCCTTCAGCCCTATGTACCTACACTTATACGCTTATAAATAACGAAAAACCTATATCATTCTATCATTATATAATATAATAATGTACATAACACTTTATACTCCTACATTTTATAGATCGTACCTATCATACGTATATATATATATTATAGGCATAGCTGCATATGCTGCAATAGTTTTACTAACCGGTATTGTACAACGATTCAGTGGTCCGATGAATGTCGGCTGGAGCGATTCCCGTGGCGGGTCCGTGTATAACCATCAAACAGTCGAAATCGGAACACGCACGTGGAATTCGAGTGGAATATCACTCGGATAAGAATTCGGAATCGGAACTATAAACTTTTCTTTAATATTTTGAACCGTCCTGCAACACTGGTGATGCGGATGGTCGAAGTCGAACGATTCGCATTGGTATACGGGTATTAGCCGGTATAGGTGGGTTTACGGTACGTGCAACAAGCGACACGGCGACGGAAAAAAACGCACGAGCAAGCGAAACACGAACAATTTTTTTTTCTTTTAAAAAACCAAAATCGATTTGACGACGAATCCAAAAATTGTATTTTTTCCTCGAACACTACACAATAATTATTTTCRTATAATAAACAACGAATTCAATATTATATACGGACGCGAATATATCGATAATTATCGTTTCGTGTTTCCGGTGTGAAGGCGGAGGAGGAAACGCACTGTAGGGGAATAATAACGCGACAACGGACAAACAAGCGGTGGCGGCGGTGACGACGACGACACGTTGTAACGACGTACGGCCGAACACAACAGACGGCGGACCGCGTACTGAAGCGGTGTGTGACTGCTGCGCGCGGCTCACAGTGGCGGCTGGTTGCTGACACTCACACTCTCACACACACACACACACACACACAGAAACGCGGACGACGACGACGGCGACGTCGTGTGGGCCGTGCGGAGTGCGACGAGACGATGCGGCGATGCGGTGGCGGCGGCCGGTGTGTCAGTGCGGCCGCAGTGTCGCTGCTGCTGCTGCTGCTGCTGCGGCGGCGGCTGTGTCCCCACATTGCGTCCGGACGGCCCCGTACGACCGATGTCATTTGTCGCTGGACGCCGGGTGGGCGGGGCGTCGTGTGTCACCGCCGACGTCGCGACGTTCGCGACGACGCCCAGAAATAATAATAATAATATTGTCATCGTCCGTCGAGTACTAGTGTACTCRGTAGTATATAGTAGGTATATATGGCATATACCGTACATTATGAATTATTATTTACACGTATATATGCGGATACCTAAAGACGGTACCTATTATAAAAAAAAATACACACGATACACCTATGTTATGGGCACTAATACTGCAGTAACACTTATTGTTTTATAAATCATTAATATAGCAGTATTATTATTGAACTATTTTTAGCGGGTGTGAATGTGTGATGCGGTCATTATACCACTTTTCCGTGTAAACAAAATCCAGATATACGACCACGCGTTGATCTGTTCATGGACTCGTGGTATAGCTTTTAAAGTATTATTATAATCATAATAATAATAATAATAATAATAATAATAATAATAATAATAATAATATAATAATATATAAATAATAATATAGTAATGCAAAAATGTATAATGTTACGGCTATTATAATAGCAATAGTGTTTGGCAGTAATCAGTAATAAGTGTACCTATATATACCTATACACAAAATCTAAAACTCAATCATAGAATAATATATAGTGGCGTCGATTCAAATTTAATATAACAGCAATAACTCGGAATAATAATATAAATATAATATTATTATGTATAAATTTATGTTACATGTTAAATTATTAAGTATTATTTATATAAATGCACCTATATTTTGTACAAAATTACAAAACAAGATGGTATAAATATTAAATACGAAATCCAAAAGAGACTAGCTATTATAGGTATGTATTTTACATTACTTATTCATGGGTGATATTCAATATTATATATATTTATCAATAATAGGTATTACCACATATATCACATGTGACAAAATATCGCTGTGCTGCATGTAGCGCTATCTCAATGACGAAAAAAATATTGACTTCTATATATACCGGCCAATTAATTATAATTCGAAATATATAGGTCGATGTCTGGTCGCTTATAAAACACTTGTTTCATCATTGCTAACAATATAAACATGCGCGATGCGCACATTATATATGTATACGCATAAAGCAAGAAAAAAGAGTTTTATAAACCTTACACCAGTTTTCATATATTATGATAATTGATTAAAATATATAAAGATTAAGAGCCTATATAGGTATACCTTATTTATAGGTATTTTTGTATTTTATTTCAATAGTTGCTATATAATTTTGTGAATAATAAATTTCATTATTTTGTATGATAGGTTGCGATACCTGAAGCGAACTGTGATATATAATAAATGGGTATTGTACTTATAGGTATCCACGCGAAAAGGAAATACGTATATATATGTATTTATACACGTTGTATCGCCTTCAATCGATACTTGTATATATATACACTATATATTATATTCATCAAACATATAAATATATAATCGTATAATTATTATAGCTAGTATGTATATGTTACAGTACCTATATTAGGTATATTATATTATATAATATAATATGTATATAGTTACCTATACCTAGTACAGTATAGTGCCTACCATTAGTATCTAACCTAACCTATATACCTATACGATATACTACACCTATATTATACTGCATGAATTAACAACACTGCTACTATACATGAATATTCTATATCAGTTGTAATAATAATATATATTATCATAATATTCGTACATAAAGATATACCTAATTGTAATCAGAAAAACTAAAATATAGGTATGCATATAATAATTCCAAAAAGATTATTATAATTTTATCTGTAAAAAATATAACATTTATGTAGGTAACACAAACCGTTAAAAAATAATTTTAACTATAGCAAAAATATGCATTTTTAGTATAAGAAAGAAATGTTTAAATTCTACATATTGTTTCGGTCATATAAACCTATAAACATATAGGTACTTACGTAAATGAGCTGTAGCACCTAAATAATATAAAGCTGCAGGTATCTATATGACTATTTATAATACAAAATCACACATGAATAAGAAGGATGTACAGTGGCCTGCAACGGGTCCTATTAATTAAAATATTAATATCCGATTAAAAATTAATATGAAAATATGCGTCCATAAATAATTATCAAAAAGCTTCCTGTAGATGAATATATACAATTACTAAATTAAAAAATACAGGTATACTTAAACTATACGCAMTATTACGGAGCATTTAATTTTTTAAATATTATGTATATTATTGTTGTCATATGGCCGTTGTATTTTAATTTTCAAGCAATATATTGATATGAATATAAAATATTATTCTATTCTACGTACACGGCGTAAATCATGAAAGCGATATTCGAATATTTTAGCTGCTGCAACTGATGATAAGATTATATACATTATAATATCTAAATTCTAACGATATGACAAATATAAATGAGTATTTATTCATAACCTAGGGTTTTGATCAAAGTTAATAACTCTTTTTGTATACATTTTGACAATAATTGCTGTAATCATGAATGATTACTATTACTACCGAAGATTACAAAAACCAGCGCACAGAATAGGATAGCCGCGCTATCTTTTTAACCGAGATAAAACTTGCATCCATAGATTACATATATCTTGTATATATTAAACTAAGATAAAAACTTGTTTGCGAAGATTCCATTTAGGCATACATCAT